ACTGGAAGTTCCGACTTTTGTTTTGTCTACCTGTTGATTGATGGTGCCATTGCTGAGTAAGAGATGATAATTATGTTTACAATAATTAAAAATTTGCGGCATAGCACTTTCAGTTTATTGATATTGCTTTGTGTTTGCTAGTTTGGTCTTGCTTTTCATGAAGTTCCTTTACAGTGATATGGAGAATTGAAGCTTCCTGTACAAAAAGGTAAGATTTTTTTACTTTTCATGTAATTTTTCAATGTGAATGAAATATGTGTATCACTGAGATGTTAATAGTGTTTTAATTATTACTCATAATCAGGGACATAGCTTGAATTTCCATAAAGGCATGCTGCTGCACACCAAATGTTTCGAAAATTATATTAACCAATGAAAATTAGAATTACATGTATTGAAAAGTTGAATATTGTTAATTTAGTGCATTAATATGTTGTTTTTAAGGTCAACTTAAGGGGATTTTTAAAATTCATATTAGTGGTTCGCCAAATATTAAAATTATATATGTAGTGGTCTGTGATGGTTGACGACTGTTGCTTTAGACCACCGGCCACAAAATAAATAAAATAATGTAAAAAAATCGCCTCCCTTATAAAATCTAGGATCAATGCAGAATATAATTCACAAAAAAAAAAAAAAAAAAAAAAAAAAAAAAAGGCGTGCGAACCATAAATACAAATTTTTTGTCATTTAAAGTGACATTGTTGCATTTCATTTTTTAAATAGTGCTGGCTAGGACTAGCACCATAGTCAATAACAATATATTGATTAGTGCTGTGTTTGATGTTGGCCAGGATTGTTTTCATCCTGAATAGCTGTGTGTTGGGGAGGGGGCTAACATACACATTTTGCTGCCTCTCTTGAATTTCCTAAATTTCTCTATCTGGCATTGTACACAAATTCAGAAAAATCCCCCCCAACATTCTGCTCCTCAGTGCCTCTCCTTAATTAAACTGCCGCTAAATTTTTGCAGTCTCGTCATTTCTAAATTTCTCTATCTGGGATTGTTCAGAAAATTTAGAAAACAAATTCAGAAACATTTATCACCCCTAAATTCTGCTGCCTAATGCCTCTCCTTAGATAAAAAATTTTGCCGATCAGTGCTCCACAAAATTCTAATATTTTTGCTGCCGCTAAGTTCTTCTGCCTGTTGTGCCCTTACTGGCTCTGGCACTATTGAGATTTAGCAGCCTTATATGATCGAAATAACAAGCGAAGCCCCACTATTGCCATGTTGGTGTCATTTTATTAGATTTAAACTCACAATCTAAAATTTTGAAATTCCTGAAATCAGGAATAACCAAAGTCCCAACAATACAGAATTTCGGACTGTGTACCGTAAAAGCATATCTTTACTCAAAAATCTCACAAGTTGCATGATGCCCCTTCCCCCGAAAAAAAGTAAGTTGCAAAATGGTTTAAAAAAATTTATATGATGAGCATGTTTTTCAGAAGTGATTTCAATTCCACAAAAAAGTGATTTCCCTATCAAATTTATGCAGAATGTATTACTTTGAGAATACAAGATTTTGAATGCTTACACTAAAGGTAGAGTTGTTGTTGATTCAACAGCATACTAAAATAATGCACTTTATTGATGGCAAGAAACATTTTGATGCATGTGTAATGTAAATACCAAAAAAATCAGAACTACGCCGAGACTACCCGTCAACGGTTGTTCTGCACAGGTTCTTAATATACTATATAAAACTTAATAATAATTAGACACAGTGAGTCTACTATTAGAATATCCGTTTACAATTTCAATATTTATAGAAAAAAGAAATAAATCTTATCTACTTAAATTCTGCACATCTAGGAAATATTCTTGACGAATAAACACTTTTATTAATAATCGACATCAGCATTTTCACAGTTTCTTTGAAGTAAAGCAGGAACTAGGATATTATTCAATAAACAGAACACAAATACAATATAATAATTCAATTCAATTCATATCAACATTAAATTCATAGAGCACTTCTATCACTAAGCAAACAGGGATCAGAACGTGCACGGCAACGCCGAAAACTGATGCCATCCACCAAAAAAGGATGCATAAAACTCGCATCATTAAAACATTAATACATTAAAAGTCCCATGTTCATTCATTAAAGTTATTCACAAAACAGTCTCGTGGATATCTTCCAAAGTTTATTGACGGCATTACGTAACAGCATGCATATGCTCAAGTGTATGGAACCAATTTTTGCATAGACTACAGCCAGCTAATATTTGATTTCAACAGTTGCATGATATGGACAGTAGAAAAAAAATTACACTGTTAATAACTATGCTTACACACGACATAGTTAATCACAAAACCAATTCTGGAACGTATTGTGTAATGAGAAGCTACAGCTAATCTTGAGGTTAAGAAAGAACTAGGAAGAAGGGGAAAAGAGGCAAAGGATATTATTCACACACATTTTTTTAAGTATGATTACCTAAGGAAATGAATCAGTGCTTGCATCACATGCAATGGTTAACATTTCAAATTCATAACACTATTACCCACAATTAATAAAGAACACATATTTAAATTTAATTAATAAAATATTTACTAATCTAAACTTCATGAAAACTAATGCCATGCTAAATCAGATATGAATCTTTCCTTAAAATTAACGTTATTATTTACCTCTAATGTTCTTTTGTTTCAAAATATGCAAAATCACAGGAGAGACAATATTCAGTAGTTTATTTATCACAGAAGTATTTTCATGTTTTAAATTCAAAGAGAAATCCTAGAAGAGATGTCACTAAAATGTCTAACATTTTCATCTAGTAACATGTGAAATTTCCATGACAAACAGAACATACTGTGATGTGAAAATGACTAGATTTTCAGTGCACTCATGCAAAGCAGGTAGCAATAGTAACATCTACAGTGTGTATAAAATCAGAGACAGCAGTTTTCTCGTACTCAGTTCACATTTAAATGTTGTTTTCGGATAAGAAAATTTTAATGCCTTATGTAAGAAGAAATGTCTATCAGCATGTGCCTGACTTTGACAAACAAAGGATTATAGCCTACTGGGATTGTGGTTTTCCATACTTCAATATTGCTGCTTGACTCAGTTGAGGTCCCACTACTGTCCACAGAATATGGAATCGATGGACTCAGGACAGTCATATGGAACATCAAATTAGTGCACCATCACCAACAACTGAGAAGACAGCATATAATCTTACTTGCATGGCCACAAAGGATCATACAGCCACATTATGAAGCCTGCATCAAGAAATGGAGCCTGATGCAAGACAAGTTTTTTGCTTGAACGGATGGATAATGTTTACAGTAGCACTGTGACTATGGCCTCCCTAACACTTTATTTCAGCTGGACAATGAATGACTGCATGTTGTCTATACTGTCCTTACCTTCTTCAGTACAGAAGGTGTTTATTCTCCTGACCTATTACCAACTGAAAATGTGTGATTAATGGCTGCCAAGCATTTGACATACCACCACTCACCATACACTACTGTCAATAAACTGTGGCACAGTGTTACAGCTACAAGGACTGCAGCCCTCATACATGCATACCATCTCTGTTTGACTCCCTGACCAGGTGGATAAATGCTGCCAGAGCTGTCTGCTCCGAGTATTGATTTCTCATAATTTATGTCCTAATATTCTGTAAATTTAATCACTTGTCCTTTCCACTACAATGTATGCATCCAACATGTCAGTTATTTGTGTTCCTTCTAGGTGAAGCATTTTAATGGCAACTAGTACAGTTTCTAAAGCAGTACTTCTTACTAACCCTCAAACAAATATACACATCTAATGCAATTTTTATAGCTACATATGAAATACAAACTATAGAAACAATTTAAAACAATGTCTACGACAGTTCTTACCCAGCTTTTATTTTTCCAACCGCTGGACATAGACATACACTTATAAAAATATTTGAAGTGGTGCAAAGATACATGTCTTCGCACTTTTAAATTTAAAGAAATATTTTTTTTTTAATTATGAAACCTAAATTTTTATATGTTCTGGTCCCTGTACTTATACTCAGAAAATTTTATACTTGTTATAAAAAATAAAACGAAAAAAGTTTGACTCGTGTTTAACAAAATTTGAAGGAGATATTTGATATAGAAATTGAGGCCTATATTTAGGGGGCATACGCAAATTCAAGAGCCATATGTTTGCATATGCACATAACTAAAAATATCGTTTAGGAAAAAATTTCTGATGTAGCTGTTTATGTGATGAGCATTCTACACTCTTAAATGTGAAAAATATTAGTCAATATAATGTTTTCAAAAGAGAGATTTTATTCACAGAATACTATGGAATTTGCATTCTAGAAAACACTAGTAGGCTTTAATATTGGCGCATAGCCATTTTGTAATATTATCTGTATCAATTAAAAATGAAAAACATATGTAATTTAATGAATTTTTACTATGATTTACCAGATTAAGATTCTAAAGGAATATAGCCTCATGAGAATATTAGCAATGTAATTCCAGATTTTAAAAATTAATACAGTACTAGGTGAAAATTGTTTTAATATAGCAAAACAACTAAATTATAAATTAAAGATACTAACAAAATAACATCACTGAATGGATTTAAGGGGGGAATCTAATTATCTTTATTTATTAACTGACTCCTCAACGCAAATTCAGAATGGCCTTAAATGTCACAAATTTTGAAATTAAATATCTGGGTCAATTTTGTCATTCAAAGTTTTTATGATTGTTTTTATAATGAATACAAAAATGTCCCGATTATAAACATAGGGAACAGAAGAATGTGTGAAAAGTTAAGATTTCATATTTTAAACAAACCTAATTTAAAATATAAAAACATGATTCTTTGTCATTTAAAACATTCTTATATGTAGGAAGTATAATATATCTACCACTAATGGCTGCAAAAATAAAGGCCATGTAAGGAATGCATATGCTTGATAATCATAATAGAATATTTAAACAAAATTTCCAAAAGAAGATAGCAAAAGTAAAAATTTTAAAATACCTAGGTATTACGCAGTCCTTTGAAAGATGGTTCATCAAATTACTTTTATCGTTTGCATTATCTTCTTTCTGAAAAATATACTAACATAAGATTTAAAAATTTCTTTATCAGAATATTTCCTATAAAACTATAATTTGATCTTACTAAAAAATCAGCTAGAGCATTCCATAAACATAACAAATTCATACAATTAAATTTTAAGCTCTAGACTTTCAGTGCATCTATAAAACTGAAAATGTTGTAAAAACATATATACATTCAACTACAGCAGTGATTTAGAAGCTTTTTATGATTGGAACCCCATTTTAGATGCTCAAGCTATACTGCAACCTCATATTCTCAGGAACATGTATTTTAAAATATGTTTGAACCCCTATTATGCAGTTTTTCAGCAACCTTTCAGTGCCTAAAATTTTTTTCACAGCCTCTATCCTGAACTACAGCATTCGTTATCTTCTAACAAAGTACCCTGCAGCACTCTTAAATGATATTCCCTGAGACTTGTTTGAGCAAATAAAATCCAGTTCTTGTTTCCCAGATACCAGAGAATCTACAAAATGATCACTGTCTTCAGTCTCAGACACTTTGTTAATGCAATAGGGCAATTACAATCCACTGAACTTTAAGGTACATTATTTTTTTAAATAGGTAAAACAATGTCTTTATTTAACATATCAAGAATAACTTACTCCAACTTAAATTGAAAAGATGATTATTTTAATATTTTTCTTCCTAATAAAAGCATAACATTTTACTATGACAAAACTCAGAGCCAACCCATAGCAGATTATGTCGGATAAGCAAATGCATCAAAAATCATGAAAAATTGACTCAATGAAATTTGGGTTAAGAGCAAATAAGATGCTATATTACAGAATAAAATCATCAAAGTTAACAAAAATCAGTTGCTTATATTGTTATTGAATATCTAATGACTGATCTACACTTTTATATATATATATATATAAAATGAAGTGGAGAGAAGGAATAAAATTATACATGTTTGAAGAGTGCTTAACATTTTTTACTTTCTCATAAAATTTGATATTCAAAAATGAAATTAATCAACATTTTGGCATAGCTTCAAATTGTTTCCATATCTGAAACACCATTCCGAATATGTTCAATGTGACTAAAAATAATCTCAGTGGGGGGAGGGGGAAAACTAATTTCTTACTTGTCATACTTCATTTTCTTCTTATTCATATGTTTGATATTCTTCAGTTCAAAATGACATATCTCTTTTCACTTAATTATATGAAACCAAAATTGGGCAATATCATTACATCTTTTTTATCCAGTTCACTAAATTATTTTCAAACTGTACTGGTTTCTTTAATGATGCTATTAATTGGGTAATTAAACCTAACATAATCATTTACAAAATATAGTAAAATTTTAAGAGAGAAAATATCAAAAATAAATATAACTGATTTATGCATTAAAGCTATCTTTCAAGAATGCAATAAAACTGGAGATTTCATGAATGTCCTGTCAGCTTACTCAACCATACTAATACCACAATTTTACTACCAAATATGTTAATGAACAAAATTCACACAACTAGAGCTTTCACATTGTGCAAGATTTATCAGCAGGAATCTGAATGGCATATTAATTATTTCTCTTATTCATTTTCCTTTGACTTTCTACTTATCCTATCAGTATTCAGACAGTTATAATTTTAAGAATGGCTGCCTAGATGAAAGAGAGACAATTTAGCATCAATGCTGGATTTAGATATAAGCTACAGGTTAGGGTATAGCAAGCTATAGCTTACAGTCCCCCCCCCAAAAAAATAGTAAATAGTCAGTAAGTGTCAGTTTATACTTAATGTACTACAGCATTATTTGTCCCAATGCAGCGTGTCTGGGATTGTCCCACACTACTTATTTCTTTAGCACTATACGCATTTTATGATTAATCATTTTCTATATAACTTATAAAAATTTTGAATTCTCAACAATTCCATGCATTATATTACTTTTAAATTCATGTTTATAGTTATATTAAATATTCTGCCCACAGTTTTTTCAGATGGCAACCAGAAGTTATAAAAGTGGAGCTTAAAAGAAGAAGCAGGGAATTGAAGAAGTGATTAGCACGTTAACAAAATTAGACAGTATCTGAACAAAAATAGATACATGGCCAGATGAATCCAAAGCATCATCCTTTTCCTGATACAGAGCCTCATATATCTAGTTGGATTGTATTTACTTCCATGAATGAAACAACAAATATTAAGATTTACAAACCATAGAGTTGTACAAGCACAAAAGACTGAGCATCAAAAAACAGACAGAATGATGTTCAGCTACATGGTCATTTAAATAAAAATGAAACTTTATTCTGGGCAGAAAAAAGTCAGTGAGCTCGTATGAAAAATCAAAGAATTTTTTGTTTCCTTTTACCATAGTTTGTTATGAATAAAAATGTTAAAGATTTATTATTTCGCTATCAATATATTACTTAATTGTATTTCCATTTAACTCTATCTAAAAATAATATTTATCCGACATAGAGTACCTCGGCTTATAAAGGGCTCCATATCTTAAATAGCTTAGTATCACATAAGTCTAAATATGGTCCTCCCTAGTGGCAGTTACAATGGCATCTCTCATTTTAACATTATTTTTAGGCACAGGTTTGTCAACTGTTCTTTCAAAAATCCTTGTAGACTGCAGATTATTTTTTACATAATTAGTACTGTACGATTTCTGTTGATGCAAAAATTGCGTTGAATATGTACTATTTTTTGCAGTTCTGTAAATCTTACTTCTAACTTCTCGGATGTTAGCCATATAATCTGTGATCTCAACAAAGATTAAGACCCTATTTATACTTTCAAACATTTATTTTCTTAACATTACTCTAGTCCAAAAGTAATTTCCATATGAATTTGAAGCTAATAGCCACAGTTTATGAACACTGTGTGATAGAGAAAGTATTTAGTATCCTCAAGCATGGGTTAAATGGCGTTTGTTATACACCAGCTTGCCTGAGCTTAATGCACTGCCTCTACTCAAAGAAGTTTACAATTTCAAAATTGATTCCAAGATTAACTAAGTATAGAATTATTCTAGAATTAAATAAAAAGAAAGTTATATATATTATGATTTCCAACATCCTGTAGAGCTGATGAGATGGTGAAAAATTTCTCCTGAACCTGAACTGTTGTGAAATGAGGAGGATGTATTTTCAGGAGAAATGCTTAATTATATTGCCGTATTTGACGGCATATAAGACGCACTTTTTTTTCCTAAATTTGGTCTCAAAAAAGTTACCTGTGTCTTATATGTGAAGGACACAGGTTAACTTTCAATACTGAATGCTATTTTTAGCCCGGTTAAAGGTCTAGACACACATAACTTTTTCTACATCTACATGTGTGTGGCCTTCTAAATAAGGGTGCGTCTTATATGCCGTCAAATATGGTAATTCACAAGCTGACTGAGACTGACTGGATGATACAATTCCGAACCTAAATCAGGCCTGTTAGGCTTTAGAACAGGCGTAATAATAGCAGTCTTCCATGCCACTGGGAAATACTGCCACCTACGAGCAACACTGAAGATATTCATCAGCTTGAAAATCAGCTTAACCACCTACTCAGAATCCAGTCAATTTCAGGACTTTTCTTAGGCTTGGGATTTTTTACGTCGCCAAGAACTTCCGATTGTCAAACTGGAACAATGTTGTTCGAGAGAGGGTTTGTTTATAATCCAAGTGTAAGTCAAAGACTATGCATTCAACTGATGTGTCATGAATGTTGTTAGTGCAAAACTGAGATTCCAGATGCTGCGCTAAAAGTTCTGATTTCTCAGTCTTGGTACAATAGATCCTGTTGGGGCCTTTTAGGGGCAGAAATTTATTGCAGCATTTTTTAAACCTAGAAACGGCTCTCCAAATGGAGTTACCATCTGTGGACAGCAAATTTACGCAGTTAATCCAGTTGAGTTGTAATTAAGCCATAGTAAGAGACCTGACAGCATAATTAAAGTGATTTAATATAAACTTGTCATCAGCATGCCTGGTGCATTGGAATTGCCTTCTAGCTGCATTTCTCAATTTTGGATCTCCTCCTTCTGGGGCATGCATATTCATTACTTGCGTTATTTAGACAGAGCTAGCAGAATCAGGAAATTCTTTGACCAAGCTTTCAATGACATCCTCCGAATGTACAGTTGGTAGGGTTTATGTGATTATGGCATATTCTCAAGGATTTTCTGCCTAGGGGGATGCCTTCACGGGGGACTTTCTAAGGGAAAATGGCTCATATGCACATTACACATGGAGAAAACCATGAAAAAGTCCATGAAGCCATTCCAGTCATGGTATTCGAACCTTGGACCGAACTACCAGTGTTCAGCGACTTTACCACTTGGCTGCTGGTGGGCCACAGTTGGTAGGGTGTACTGAATATTGTTTAGAATTTTGGCATATCCCAGTCAGTAACAACTGTTCTTTTGTCTGGTGAAATATAATATCAAAATAATTCTGACCAGCTAATGGTCAGAAAATAACTCATCCAGCACCCAGTGTATCACTGCTACTTCTGAGCAGGAAGAAGTCAACAATTCTTGTAAAGTTCAAACAACCTACTCACTGAAGTATTTTTCTTTTGTTAAATTTTAGTAATTTCATACAATAGTCATTTATTTATTCTGGTCTCAGCTTATGAAATGCAAATTATCCAGTAAGTGAACTTAAAATTCACTGAAGCAATAGTAAATTATTAAAATATACATAAACATGAGATGATATAAACATACAGAACAAAAAAGCATGTACTTACAACATAGGACAGTATAAAAATTAAAAGTTCCTTTGATCACATTACAGTTCCTTATTAAACTTCACTGGCCTTTACTCTAAGTTAAATTGCATTCTGTTCATGCTTTAATATTTGCTCAGACCAGAAAATTACACAAAACAAAAGGCAGGAGGGATAGTTTAAAAGTAGGGTATCAATCATGGGCCTGCAGGAGCTTGCACTGCTGCCATACTGCATGCTTAAGTCAGCTGTAGTTAGTAAAGGAGATTCTGAGAAGTACCAGGCCTACTTGCTAAGTTACGTAAGATTAGTTACATCCATTCTGACCCTAAGTATTTGTAGGTTTGAGCTTTAGTTTACTGTTGCATATCTTTAAATCTCAGTATCAATGCAATCTGCTCACTTTGTATGAAAAGAGCTTATTTTAGTTTGCATTACCTTTTAAGTTTTTAAAAACACACCATGATATAAAAGGCTGTTTTAATTTTACAGTTGTGTTGCATACATCGTTAAGAGTACACAATTATTGGCATTAACTTTCCAAGTACCTAAATAGATTTAGATGAATAATTGCGAAGAGCTGTTAGATGGCAAGCTGAAGTTTCAAAATTTAAGTGTTTACTACCAGCATTTTAATGCATTTTGTTTTAAGTAAGAAAGAAAGAAATGAAAGAGAATTAAAATTTGCATACTTACATTAAAAAATCCAAAAATGTTTCGTTGAATTTTACAGTATCCATGATTACGATACCAAAACTCAAATTTACTATTCTGGATGAGATCAAATTTTTTAATATGAAAGAAGGTAGAAAATGAGTTTGGTGTTGGTTTTGAACTTAATAATAAATAAATAATATTCGAAACTGGTTGAATATACAGTACGGTCCCAGATACCTAAAACAAATGAAATGAAAGTAAGTAAAACTCAAAACATTTAAACACAATATAAGTGAATACTTGGGATTAATTCAGCAAGTAAATAAAAAAATTAAGGCTGTCAGATACATATAATTGATTACCTGACATCTATGGGTCTATATACAGAAATTAAAATTTTATCCAGGCATCCTTTAAAAATGTCAGTCAGAAATTATATTTCCATGGTGACATAAGTCAAAATGGTCACAAACTCACTTCTCGCATGATCAAATTACACATTCTTGAATTAAAATTTTAAGAGTTCATACTGAAGTATCACTGAAAACATGTCAGGTTCTTAAATGTTTATTTTCAACAAAAAAACTTTTATACCATAGTGCCAAACTTAAAATATGAAAAATGCAGAATTCACACTGCACAACGATGGCATTCAAAAAGATCTCCAAACTGGCATAAATTCAGTTTATAATGTATGATTCAGGTTATGGAGCTATTTATAATATGATTATGATATAAAATATATAAATAATTAACAAGGTACTCTAACTGTATATTCTTTGGTTAAATCAATTCTGTAATTTTCATGCACTTTACGCTTAAAAAATCCTGAGCATGGAAGAAAAGCTTTCATTTATCAAAGTACTTGCATACAGAATGAAAATAGTAACTAAGTATGTGCTACTTATGGATGAACTTAGTAATGTGTTATTGACTGATGTAAAAAAATTAAATAAAGATATTATTTGATCAAACGCTGGTTGAGTCTTGATAAAAATCAAGACAATTCATATCATTATGCTGCATATGGAGTGGAGGGATGAAGTTTGTATAAGTTTCATTTATTAATGGGAAACATTTTTCTTAGTAAAGGCTAAAAATCAAAACCGGGAGACTGGGATATGTGATGAAAAACAACAGTTTCCAGCTAAAACCCAGCAAGCTAGAACTGTATCACGCCATGACAGCATTCATATATACATATTAAAAAAAATCTGAAAGGATTCAGAACGGTCACCCAAAAAAGGCTCAAAATGAGGTTTAATATGGATCATCAGGACAGATTAACAATAGAGAAGGCGTACACAGAAGAGTGAAACATTATACATTTAGGCTAACACGCTAACATTATATAGCTTCTGCATAATTGAAAAGTGAAAAATTACATACTGTAATTTCCTAAATATATTTAATGTTTCTAATTATATATAGATATCATAAATTAAATTCATTTTTATTTTAAAAAATCAGATTAAAATGTAAAAAAATTATTTTCTTATGAAGTGCATCTATTGTTTTTAAAAAGCTTAGTTTATTAATCTATTAATATACAGAAATATACAGATTAAATCTCAAAGATAAATATTTTACATTTTGCTAAATGGCAATGGACTTAAATGAAAAGTGAAACAATGCATTTACAGTGGATGACATTTAAAAGTGAATTAATGCAAAACTGTGTTTTGAAACTAATATCCTTCAGAGCTAAAACATATCCCCCACTGTAGAAATGTTAAAAATTGAAACCTTTTCACATAGTTTCTATGATCTTTCTACTATAGCTTTCATTTAAGAGAAACAGTTTTCAGTCACATAATTTCCATACATTTTTTTTAATAATCAGTTTGCATATTAGAAAAAACAGTTTTCCCTCTAAAAATGTTTTTATTCCGATTTAAAAATTCCTGACTCGTTTTTGCTCTTTTAAGCAGAAAGCCTGGATGAAAATTTAAATTTCCTTAGTTTTTAAGGAGGGACATGAAAAATAATTACCACTGATGACAATCTCACTTTATTCAATATAATGTCAAAATTATACACCTACATGCAATTATTCAGAAAATATTTTAACAGGCAATCTTTTCCAGGGTTGTTACTCAATTAGGAGAATGGAATTCCTCAATTCTTCCAGGTGTTTTAAGAAAATTACAGTCTAGCCACATAGTGCACGTAAACTGTGGTGAGGGTAAAATAATTATGGCACCACTTGAAAATAAAAACATTTACCAAATACATATTATTGGGGGGGACTTATTTTTGAATCCCCAAAGCGTTACAGTTACAACTATAATGGTTGATTTCTCAGTACTTTCAAATTAAGTTTTGCCAAACTAAGAAAACTGAACCTAATTTGTAAATTATGTGTGCAAGTCAGATAAATATTTCCATTTGGCCCTATTATGTGAACATAAATTTCTTGAATTCTTTCAGTAGGTTCTTGATATCTTTCAAAACCTGATTTTGTTTGATGAGAAACTGTTTTACTGGCAGGAAATACATGCTCAGGTTTTAACCTGCCAGCACGTGCACCAAAATTACGAACACGAGAAGGCGCACTGGGTATGTCCTACCCGAAAGCAATTAACACGTTTTAAATTACATTAATAATATAAATATAAGTATAAATGTGGATTAACATAAAAAACAATGAACTTTAGAATATTTTAAAGAATACAGGTATAATAAATGAAGTACTTAACATACAATTATTTTGCACATCTCTGGCAGACTGAACACATATGCTCGATACAAATACTGACATTACATTTTTCGCACAGAAACCGCGTCTTTTTGTCCTTGTTTTTAGGGCACTCAGCGCATCGTCTGTAAACGTTTTTCACCTTTTTAGATGGTGGTTCCATGTTGCAATTTCCTGAAATTATTTTTTCTTTTAGTTTCTAAGGGAGCATGATTTGCTGCCGCCGCTAATTTGAGTAATCTTCCACTTTCGAATAACTAGTATTTCCTAGAATTTTAAAATAATTAGATAATGCTTTTAGAACTAGTCCTGACATTCGTTCAGAATTTGTTTTTCTTCCATTACCAAGCCATTTTTACCAACATAATTTTCATCATTTCATTGATTTTCTAATTCACTAATTCAGTGTCTGTATCACTGTCTGTTGATGAATTATAATTGCTGTTGTGTTCTTCATCTATTAATTCTTCCTCCTCTTCTCTAAATGTTTCATCATCTGTTGAAATGGTTTCTAGCATATTTTTCAACCTTTTCCATTTCTTTATCATAACTTAGATGCCACGCCATGCTGACTAAGAAAGTGAGGGTGGAAATCTGAGGGACGCGAGAAGGCGTGCGGAAGTCACATACCCAAATGGTACCATTCGTAGAAAAGTATTCGAAGAATCACTCCACGGATTTCCCAGCTTCATGAATGTAACCTTGAATTCACCTACAAAAGGTTTCGACCATTTTCAGGAAAGGGGTTTTGAGATAAGGGACAAAGAATATGCCCCTCAGTACGAGATACCTGGTGCGCATACTCGTGGGTTAAGTTTAGAAGAATGAATTTTGAAGTTATAAAAGCTTTACTAATGATTTCATTCCTGGGTGTAAAAATGAATAAATATTTTCATTCAATATTTCTTTGGTATATAGGGTCTAAATTGTTGTGGACGATATATCACACCATAAATTTTTTCCTGAAAGTACCATATATTGTATAAATTTTAATGAAGTTGAATTTTGTAAATTTTTTTAGTTCTTGGCCATCAGTCTGTTATCTCATCGAAACTAATTTCTATTATTTCTTCTATTCTTGATAACGTGTCAGCTATTATATTGTTTTCCCCTTTACTATGGTTGATTTCTGTTGTAAACTGTGAAATATATTGTAGTTGTCTGCACTGTCTGGTTTTAGTTGAAAATCATACAGCAGAGTCTTGTGATCAGTAAATATGGTAAAATTTCTTCCTTCTAAAAGATGTTTACAATATTTTATAGACATGTAAATTCCAAGCAATTCACGGGCATGTGTACTATAATTTTGCTATGCAGTATTCAGATTTTTCGAAAAGAATGTCATTGGCTTCCATCTATTTTTATTCTAATTTTATAAAATTGATCCAATAGCCAAATCTTAATCTTAATCTATAACCAAATCTTAATCTGTAAACAATGCCAGAGGTATTTGGGTAGGAAACAATGCAACATTAACAACATCTTGCTTATGCTTTGCAAATCATTTTAATACCTCTCATATTCCCCTGAATGTTTCTCGTTTTTTTCCGCTGAACCTTTCAAGCAGCCATGTAAAACAGCTTTTTGCAGCATCTTTTAAGTAACGATGATAAAAGCTGATTGTGGCAAGAAATGCTCAGGGATGGTTTGGGGTATTTTGCAATTCCATATAGGTCAATATATGAATTTGCAATTTAGTATAGGTTTTTTTTTAGGTAATGGATGAGAACCTTTAGGTGTCAGCAAATACCCTAAAAATGCTATATTTTATTCCTCAAAAGTTGGTTTTGACAAAGTTATTCATTAGCCATACTTTTTTATTATTAAATTTAATCATTCAAAAACTAGATTCAGGTGTTTCTAATGCTCTTCTTCATTACATAATGCATCAATACATTATCTAAATAAGCAAAAATGAAACCTCTAAAATCTTCATGGATGAATCTTTGAAATGTTGAAGGTGCATTTTTCAAACCAAACTCATAACATTAAATTCATATAAACCAAATCAGGTTATTACAATCTCACATTTATCCTCTTCTGCTCCTGGTACCTGGATTTCAGAAAAAAATTTTGGTGTCTTTTAAAATGTGGTGAAAATCTCCAATTCTTGGTATTGGGTATTTATTAGACAGTTTTGGAAATAACTTCCCTGTAATCTCGGCATGGAAGATATAATGGCAACTTTTGCATTTCCATGTGAAATGAATGGCATGCTTGCCAACCTATGACACTCAAAAATCAGGTGATTTTTTTAAGAAATCGGGAGATTTTTCACAATGTTAAAAAAGACTTTTTAAATGATGAAAATATAGTTTTTAATAATGAATTAACTATAAATAGTAACTAATTCTTAAATGCAAGCAACACAAAAATACCTTGCACATAAAAAACATTATTATTTGCATCGTTTAAGGGGCGGAGAAACACTTTAATCAGTTTTCGTACAAATGTTATAAACAGTGGCAGATTTTGCTTTCTTTAAGAAAGAAGCCTCATAATTTTGTTCACAGCAATTGCCACATACGCCTGCTTTCGCTAATAAAAGTTTTTCTTATGTGTCATCACTAATATTAGATCTAAATTTAGTCCTCGTTTTCCCAACAACACTGAAAATCCTCTCACACTCTGAATTACTATGGGAAACTGTCAAGATGGCCAACATAATTCTAGACAGTTCACTATATTTTAAAATTCCATCAGCATCTTTCAGTTTTCCAATTAAACTCCACTGGGTGTCAATCCTAGCTGATTTTATAACTTCATCCAAGTTTTCTAACTGTAAACTGCTGTTGTGCAGCTGTTGGAACCGTTTCAACTTTTCCTTCCTTTTAGAAATCCTTTCAAGATAATAATAAATATCAACAATGTGTTCATCCACAGTTATTGGTAAAGAAGCTGCCCCTTTTACAGCTGCTAAATTTAAGAGGTGACAGGTGCACCTCATAATCTGCAAATCTGAATTTTCCTTTCTCAAGATGCCTGCAACACCAGTTTTCAAGCCTACCAATACTGGTGCATTATCGGCACCAAGTGCTAAGCAATTATCCAGAGAGAATGCATTTTCTTTTAAAGTTTTAATAATTAGCTGTGCTATATTAATGCCTGTTCGAAATGTTCCTTCTAAAGTGGGGACAGAAAGTAAACTGCACTCAATTTCTGAAGACTCTGGATTAAAAAATGAAACAATAATTGGATACTGTTCTGCAATTGGATACAGGATACTATTGAATCGGTATTATTGCTTTCCATCCATAGAGAGGCAGTAACGGAACTGTTTTAATGCAATTAATAACTGAAGATTTATTTTTCAAATCCATTTTTTTTAACAATTGCACCTGTTTTGGTTCTTGCACTTGAGTATTTTTTAGCGATTTCACTATTGGGAAACGTTTTTCTAAATAAAGCTGCAGCGTGATCCGATGCATTCAATGGCAGGTTGTGCTCCAGTAAAAAGGCAGAGAACAGACATTCTGCAATAATAACTTTTTGGTCCTTTGTTTCCGAAGAAAAATTTAATTTTTCGTTTTTTTCAAAACAACTCATGTTGTCCTTGTGTTTTTGTGTACGCACATGTTTGAGAACATCCGCTCTTCCACCATGCAAAATCGCAAAATCACAACAACAGGCAGTACACATCACAAATTTATTACATTTCCTTGAGAAAATAATGGAAGGAAAGTCAACTGTGTACGATTTTTGAAACGTACACAAGTATTTCACCTTTCTGGCAGAATTAATAAAAGATGATAATTTCTAAAACTATTTCCCGAAGGCATGTGTACTCACACAACTCAGGACAAAATGACCGAAATAACTAAAGAACATCCAAATAACAGCTTGCTTTGTCCTCATTGGCTAATATATGCCAGATGACACGCAGTGGAGCATGATGACCATTGGAGAACTCGAGAACGTTTCTGGATATGTATATATATGCTCTCACTCACAAAGCAGAAGTTATCTAATTCGCAAAGTTTTGTTTTAGATATAATCTAGAGAAAATTCAATTTCAATTTTCAATTTCTGAACCATCTGCAGTACATAATTTAAAGTCAAAAAAGTTTTCATCTGTAGCTGCTGGGATTATGCTGACATCGGCTTCAGTATTCGTAAGAAATGCCAAATTCGATTTTTTATCTTTTTTTTAAATACATGAAATTTGTGACAACCCTTTAAGTTGCACGAGAGCTTGTCACCAAATCTACTCGAACATTTAGTTTTTTTGATTTTAATGTTTTCCCCCCTTGACATTTTTCTGGCATGCATTTATATCCAAATTTAAAATAAAAATTACAAAATTTTCTATTAGCATTGTAGGATGCTGGATTGAATACATGAGCAAGAGCAAGGGCTATTATAGTTCGTTCTTAATCTGAAATTTATTTCAACACACATCAAATATTTTTGTATACGGATTCGTATTGTTGATTTTATCTGCCATTATAACAAGTTTTGAAATGTCTTCTTTGCTCACTAACAGTATGTGTTTTTCTCTGGTAATTTTTCAAGCCAGAAGGTTTTAATCAGATTTTCTGATATGTCAATTGTAACAACAAATTTTAATTTTCAAAATATTTCGCTTAGTTTCATGTTCCTCAAGTCAATGTCAGTAATTAATCTCTCTATTCAGACACTTTCACTTTCCTTAAATAGATTTAAAAGGCCTGTTTTCAGCATCGGTAAATTTGTTGTTGGTATTACTACTGAAAATGTCCCATATGTTTTCTACATATTTAGGTGTCAGTTGGTAAACAAATAATTAAACTTCAACTTTCCAACTTTTTGAATTGTGCTTAAAATTGAGAAAACCAGATTTTAGGTTTATTGATCCAGTTCAGGCAATGCATTTGCTAAGTCTTCATTTTTATCTATTTTCGAAATCTAGTGTATTCTCCAAGTCACCAATTTTTTGTAGTCACAAAGTACAGATGAAAGAGAAAAAAACAAAATCAATACTAATGACATATAATGACTATTTCTATTAAATAAATAGTCGACTATTTATTTAATAGAAATAGTCATTATATGTCATTAGTATTGATGACTATTTCTATTAAATAAATATTTACAATTATTTACACTTTCTGAGGACTTAAACATATTTTAAATCCATCCATTAAACTAGCATTCAATTAAAAAAAATTTTTTTTGAAAAATGTCACCATATCAACAATTTAAAATAAAATTTATAATTTTGTTTAGTTAAATTTTATACTTTTTAATAGGTCTCAATTTAAATTATTTTTTTAATATTACTATTGATTGAAACTATTAATATTAAAAAATATTTTAGACCTTTTAATATGTTTGTATGCCTACAATAGAATGTTAGGTAAAAGTATATTTAAAAATATTATTTAACAATATGGAAAAGATTACAAAGTTTAACTTTTCAGATAGAGATACTGGAGTTAACAACAGAAAAACAAACTCTCTAAACAAAGACGGAGAATTTTCTTTTGTCCAACAGCCACAGATTTCTTGTCCTTAGCTAAAACACGCAAGTCTTCCTCTTCTTCCAGCAATTCTAGAAATTGCTGGAAACCAAAGATGCTGAAAAGCTGCTTTGCCTTTCTGAAAGACAATGTCATTGGCAATGTGAAAACTGGCTCTATGCCATCTGCTAGAATGACTCTGACATGATACGTAACTCTTACTTTTTGTGGAATCGCCATATGAAATTCCCCAACTTTTTTCAGTTGCGTGGCAAACATGCTTTTCTGCTCTGTAACTTCTAAATAAACAAATCAAATAGAAGCCGACATTTACGAGCCAGTTCAGAGAAACATATAACAAACGAATTTTAAAGTTTGACAACCTTGAAAATTGGAAAATTTTGACAGCAATGTAAACTTTTATATTATAAAACTGTTTTATAGTTTAAACATTAAAGCTAAAAAATTTATCTACAAGTATTTCATATTGTGCTTGTAAGAACACAGTGTTTGAACAAGGTGACTGATTATAAGCACGACTTATTTGGAAACTAATCCTACACATATATATCTAATTACAAATTTTCTAAAAATAAACCTTGATACAACTAGTAGGGTGATATTGTTAATATAATAGTCTTCAATATGGAATTCACAGAGCAAAACTCCAGCTGGCAAAATACTGATCGTATATTACCATGTTAAACACAAGATCCGAACAGTTCCACAAATTTGAATACAAAATTTACAAATATGCATAACTATAATCTCTTAATGGAGTGAGTTATAAATTCAATAAAGTTTACTATCTTATCCAATAAGGAACTATTAATTGCTAAAAGATCATATTTCATATGTAGCTTATAAATCTGTTCAAGAATTTCCAGTTTTGTTCAACGATATGTTAAGTCTTTGAAGAGATTGGTTGGTTACTGTTAATGGCAAAGTATTTAAAACAACACTGCCTTTAAGGAAACACTGCCTTCATGGACAACTTCCTATTAAACACTGGTTGATATTTAGGTTATGTATGTATAAAAACCAAGAAAAGAGAGATACAAATAGCATGTTTCCCATTATTCAAAATCAGATGGATTTATCAACTTTCAACATGCAAAAGGTTAGGAAAAAGTTCCATACAAAAATACTGAGAAAGTGTATTTAACAAAATTAAATATATTAAATAAATAAAAGTATTGTGGCACTCTAGTTTGGCAGCTAATATTTTGTACAACTAAAATAACCAGACAAAAACACAAATTCATTTCATTCCTGTCTTAACCCTCCAAGCAGGCAAGCTGTATATTCTATACTATTAAATATATTAAATAATATTTGTCATATCTCTTAAGTACATATATAAGATCTCTTAAGAGCACCTTGAAATATCTCCTGATAATTAGGGTAGTATATATATATATATATATATAGGTGATGATATACATATATATATATATAAAATGGAAGAAAAGGAGTCAAGATACAGTGTAAAGGTCATTTTGGAATTGTACTCAAGAAAACATCATCAACCCTTTTGAGAAGTTAAGGGTTTTGGGGTCTAAACATTGGCTTCTTGGAGGGTTAAACTTAAAATCTTGGACAACAATCTCAATACTAAATTCTGAGCATAAACTCAGCAACATACTATAAAATTAACTAACAACATTAAAAAATCAGTTTCTCACACATATAAACTGACAACAGAAAACACTGATGAGTTAAACGAAACAGCAATGAACCAAACATGACTGAAAACTAAGTCAAACAAAAAATGAAAAATAAATAAACAAACTGCATTACTGAGAACTGCAGAATGATATAACCTTTCACACAGATGCTGAATTTTCAATACAAGTACTTTACAGGTGTAAGATTTTAGCCCTTACCTTCCCAAGATGAACTTTCTTACTGGAGCAACCAAGAGATAAAACATTTGCACATCCTTCAAAATTTAAGCAATTTAAATATGCAAATGGCTTTTTAATCTGTAAGAAAATTTCATTATTATTAAATTATTGTCATTGGAGTTACATTTCCATTAATCGTGATTTTGTACAAAAGCGTCTATTTCATACATCTTACATTAAAATATGCATTTCTTTTATGATTTTGCACCTGCATAAAAACTAATATAAAACATAATACCCCCAAAATTAGAAAAATATTTCATAATACTTAAATTAAGAATTCCTATTAAAAACCTGCAAAAATATATGGAAAATATCTTTTCTTAGATTTATAGAACTTTAAAGGAAAATTCTTTAGACTAACATTTAGAAGATACACAATGTTAGCTGTAACAAGCAGCATTAAATCAATACCTAACAATAATTGAATAATTTTTACAGAATTAAAAAATTAGACAACACAGGAAAATTAGTTGATACACATATTTTCAAATATTGTATCCAAGACATATTTTTGACTGGAGAATTATTTTTTTAAGTCTTCTGAAAACACGTGAAAAAAATTTTAAGTTTCTGAAACCTTTAAACTAAGATTTTTGTATAATGTACAGACGTGTGATAAGTCTGCCCGTTTCCAACTTAAGAATTTCTTTACCAGCTAAGCCATACTACAGTCAAACAAAAGTATTAAAAAATATCCAATTTTTTACCAATAACTACACCTGTAACTAAATTCAATAAGATATGAATTGTATATAATGTACAAAATATAATGTACAAATATAATGTACAAAATGGAATACAAAATGGAATATAATGTACAAAATGGAAGTTACTATACAGGGCATACTTTCTGTACAATATGTTTGTCAATTTTGTAATGTTTTCCGAACAAAATGTAAAAATCTTTAATTCATTACTAAACAACAGACTAGACATAATTAATGCATACTTTTTGTTAATGAAGGATACATTGCTTCATTCGTCCAAATATCATATTTCCAAATACTAAATTATGTATTTAAGACCTATCTTCCCTTTCAGAAATTTTTCCACTACTTGCTAAATTGCCAAACAAGAATTGGAGTAATGAAATTGATATCCTCAATCATTTTGCTTACAAAAGCAAGCAAACTAGATGATTTCCAGCATTTTAGAAAGTTGGAGTTAAAGTTTAGCTTAAGAAAATAAAATGCTTTCCCTCAATTGTCATCATTTTAGATAATTACATTAAATTATGTATTTTGCAGTTTTGTTGCTTTTTGCATGGGTGTTGAGAGGAGGCAAAATCGAAAGCCATCTCAGGCAGCACAAACTCTGCTACTAGTTGAATGGTTAATGAAATTGAATTGCTAATAAACTCTGTTTGTCATACTTTGCTGAGATAACTAACCTCAAAACTTTAAATATGTACTTCATTCATTAAACTTTATTTGTAACTTTTTAATGTACATAAATGTACATTACTATAAAATAATTAACAACATACTATACGTAGTAGTATTTTTAGAAGTACTTTAGATTGTATTCCATTAGAGACAAATTTAGCTTTATTTAAAATTTTAATATTTAGCAAACATTTTTTTCTTGCAACTCTTACTTAAAGGATTCGTGAAAGCGCAGCTTATTAAAAATTAAGATTCTTTCCGGTTTCTGGTTTGAGGAATTTACGATTCAACTAATCTAGTTTATTCTTGCGAAAATTTAAACATACTTTAAATACCGTTGAACAAGATTTCAATGCATCCTAATGCGAATGTATTTGTCATTCAAAAATAATACAAATAATACAAAAGGCAGCAGTGCTTCAAAATGAGGAATACAGTTGAAATTAAATTTATATATACAAACAATGGATTTGTCACAGAAAATTTAATTAGAACGATAAAAGCCAAGTTTTGCGAGCTAAGTATAAATGAATAGCTGAACACGCAAGATGCTCAGTCATAAAAAAAAAAAAATATCACACTTTATGTTCCTAACAAAATTTCTTATACCTAGATCACTGGCTGGCACCATTTATGGTTAGAACTATGTCGGTAACCTACATGGGCAAAGCTCCAGCCCACCCAGCTGGATTTTGGATTTATCCGGACGTATGATTTTTAGGGCAGTAGGGAGGTTTTTGTTGCCTTCATGCCTTCAAACCTCTTAACTTTCATTTTTGATTAATAGAAATATTCTTTGGCAAATGCTTTCGCAATACTTAATCTTCCAAAGATCCAAGAATTTCCCATCAAGCGTCGGAATATGAATGTTCCCATCTGTCCCATCAATCATCACTTCGTTTTCTGAAAACCAATAATATAGAACTGAGGTCCCCTTCCATTATTCCATGCACCATTATTCAGGTGTCAGGCTTGGTTTTGCAAATGTTTACTATTGTAAACATTTTCTGATGTATTATTAATGATTTAACATAATAAAAACATTCTACACATCTATGTTGGAGGATAGGTGCTGGCACGATGTTGTTAATGTATTATTCTGGAAACCACTCTAATTCTATTCATACGGAAATTATCTTCTTGAGGTAATAGCAATTAGAGAACTCAAGAAACTTAATCTGATGTCACCTTCACAAGAAAGTTTAGCATACATGGTTCACAAATATTAATTAACTTCCTGCTTCCACATTAGTTAGCGAGTGAAAGAAACTTAAGTGTGGACTGCATAAGAAGGATGTTTAATATAATTAAATATTTGGTATTTTAGAAGTGTTGCACATCAACTGAAGATTGAAGAATTTTGCTGTTCATGCATAATGTACAGGATGATTACAAGTTTCACTTTTGAAAAGCTGAAAAAGAACCACTGGTTAGAATGACCTGAAATTTGATCTCAATATACATGAAGCAAAAGTTATTTGTCAGGAGAAAGAAAAAATCAGTTAAAAAATTTATCAATAAATGCTGTTGTACTTGTTATAATATGATACTTTAAAGATGAGACATGTCTACCATATATCTGGCTTAATAAAAACATAGAGTACATGCAGTTCCCATTCTGCATCTCAAAAATCTGTCATGACTCTGATTTGATTTATTTGATTATGGTAAAGGATGGATCATGGGCTATCTGCCTAAGGGAAGGGGTGCCTTTGTGGAGGACTTTCTAAGGGAAACTCACTCATACAAACGTTACACATGGGAAAAAACATGAAAATGCCTATGCAGTCAGCCCGTTCATCAGGATTCAATCCCCAGAATGAACTATTAGCGTTCAGTGACTGTACTACTTGTCATGACTCTGCCAATGAACGATCGGCCTCTACTAATGTTTTTTTTTTTTTTTTTTTTGTAAGAACAGTGACTGTGCTTCAACTGCCCTGAAGAAGTTCAGGCCATTAATGGATATAAGATTCGGCTCTGGTCCAATATCTGTGAAGGGTCCGTGGAAGATTATTCATAAATTTAAAGACACCAGCTCATTTTACACGAGATCTGCCAGAAAGTGGAAAGCACTTGCTTCGAAGTTAATGGAAGATGTAACTATAGCATTGCAGGAACAGACAAGAAGTGGTGTGAGAATGTCCAGCAGAAGAACTGCATGATCTTTAGACATGCCTATCAGCACACTTCATAAAATTTTGCAAAACACTACGATGCTATCCATTCAAAATTATGCATGCTCAGGAGTTGCTTTCTGCTGATCTAGCAAAATAACAAAATTTTGCCCTAGATTTTCTTATTTGGATAGAAGTGGGAGAACACCCTGTAGAGATATGAAGCCCATTTTACACCTAAAAGGTTCTGTCAATACTCAAAATTGCAGAATGCTGCAGATACTGCACCAAAGCCATATCTTATACTCATTAACATTCAAACTTTTTCAGGGCAGTTGAAGCACTGTCATTGTTCTTGTAAAAACGCACTGTCATTGTTCTTGTAAAAACGCATCACAAGCAGAGCACAATCCTTTATTGACAGAGTCATGTTGAGCTTCTCAGATGCAGAATACCAGAAACTGCACGTACTCTGTGTTTTCATTAAGTCTAATATGTGGTACACATGTCACATCTTTTAATTAGGATATTATGACAAGTACAGTGCCTTCTATTCATAAAATTGTGAAAATTTTTCTTTTACCATACAAATTTCCATTGCTTCGTGTATATTCAGGTCAAATTTGAAATCATTCTAAACCGTGCTTCGTTTTTACAACCTTTTAAAATTGAAACTATAAACACTCTTTATATTATCCCCACCCCCATATTTTCAGTCTGCATTCCCTAATGTAGTACTCATATGTTAAATCTTTTGTTATAAGCTTGCTTGGTGTTGAATCAGCTGGTTTACAGAGTTCAAGGCACTACTAAAGATTTTCCTATGAATTTTGATGGGCATGCTTCATACTCCCCATAATCCCTGGTAGCTTTCACAGTGAGATACGTTGTATACATTAGTATTCTTGCAATTCAAAATTTCAGCCAAAAGCAAGCACCTATTTGAATTTCCTGAGCACTTATTTGAGCAACATAGAGTACATACAGTTCCCATTCTGCATCTTAAAAGTCTGTCATGACTCTGATTTGATTTGTTTGATTATGGTAAAGCACTCATAGGCTATCCTAAGGGGAGAGGTGCCTTTGTGGAGGACTTTATAAGGAGAACTGGCTCATAAACGTGTTACACATGGGAAAAACCATTAAAATGCCTATGCAGTCAGCCCGTTCATCAGGATTTGATCCCCAGAATGAATTATTAGTGTTCAGTGACTGTACTACTTGTCATGACTCTGTCAATGAAAGATCGGCCTCCACTTATCTTTTTTTTTTTGTAAGAATAGTGACTGTGCTTCAACTGCCATGAAGAAGTTCAGGCCATTAATGGATGTAAGATGCGGCTCTGGTCCAATGTCCGTGAATGTCCGTCTGTGTGGTCTTTTTTACAACCTTTTAAAAGTGAAAGTATAATCACTCTGTATATTATCCCCACCCCAAATATTTTCAGTCTGCATTCCCTAACGTAGTACTCATATATTAAATCTTTTGTTATAAGCTTGCTTGGTGTTGAATCAGCTGGTTTACAGAGTGCAAGGCACTGCTACAGATTTTCCTATGAATTTTGATAGGCATG